AATATAATAAAAGAAAAGAAAAGAAAGAAAAAAAAAAAAGAAAAAGAAAAAGAAAAAAAGAAAAAAGAAAAAAAATTAAACTCATTTGTGATTCACCAAATATCTCATATACAAATAGCATATCTTTATGGTTTTTGGTGTATAGTATTTTGTTTTGACAGGGGATAATGACAGAAGCTACATGTAGTTGGAAATGTTCAATGTGTGACACAAACAATGCATTGCATGCAAAATCATCTGGCTCAGGTCAGGGGTTTACACAATGAAAAGGACCATTCAGTTTTCATATGATTGACTGACATACATATGGTATTATACTGTATTGTAAACAAGACCCTGGGGGCAGGGTACACCTGGCTGGGACAGCTTAACTTAGCCTCTCAGAATCTAAATGCCATTGGGAAGTAAAAATAAGTTGCTAAGTTTCAAAAGACAGCGATAGAGCTACAAGTACTAAGGGTAGGTAACCAGTCAATTCGCCCACGGACCAATTCGCTACGCCAATTCGCCCACATATAAAATCATCAAACATGTGTTTGCCAACTCGCCAACRTTAAAATCACTTTAAGAAATATCTAACCRTATATTAAGACTACATTAAAGTAGTACGTGATTTACCAAACTTGTTACTTGACACTTAAGCTCAAGACTTCAAAATGCGAACTTTTTTTACGCCATAACCGACTCGCCTACACTAACTTGCTAACGAACAAAACAACTTATGTAAAACCAATGTAAATRTCATTTAAGCCTTTTTAAACCTCAGACTGTTACTTCAAGAYTTATYGTTATTAAAGCTTACTTGACATRTAAATAATTCTTAGAACGCAAAGTTTTATACCCGTATTATCCGTCGAGGGATGCCTGGCATCATAGCTTTTATTAAATGCCGGCTGGTCAGTTTCTTAAATTTTACAGCATCTTGAATTGGTTATTGGTTTTAAAACAAGAAAAATAAAAGGATGAGCTTTATGTGAAAATTTTTTAACCAAAATGTCTTCTTATTTGAGTGGCCATGGTACAAAAAGTGGGAAATTCAGCCCTTGTTTCTCGTTTCAGCGTCTCAAATTAATAACTGAGTCATTAACGCACAACGCAACTTATAAACCAGTGACGCCATGCCACAGCCTATGTAAATGTTAGTAAAATAACCAGTACAGTTGAGTTTTATCTGCCATGGAAAGTTGTTGGTGATAAATTTGGGTWAGAGTTACTAAAATGACAAAGAGTTATTAATAAGATAATAAGCAACGAAGGTGAAGTGTGAACAAAACGTGAAACTGACTCAAAGAAGTRAAATGTATATTATTTACGTAAATGCCAATTCTCTACGTTTTCGATAATATCRTATCTGGTTTATATTCTCCATAAATATGAGTTAGTAGACAAATCAATGGAATGTGGGGGCAGTAGTGTTTCGATGAACAAGATAGAAAAGCGATCTATGGTATGTTTATGGCAAACTCGCTCATGCTTTGTTTCTGACTTCTAACAACATGTTCCAGTGTTTTGACTGATTGATTTATTGAACATAAAGACTAGTAAATTGTAAATAAATGAAATAACGAAGTTAAATTCCGCCGATAAAGCAGGATCTGATTAACTAATGTTTCTTTTTTTAATCGAAATATCCTACAGTTCCTAAATCTCCTTAAAGCGTCCTCTGTTACGACCCAGTGAATTCGAGACGCTGAAATAATTTGCCCAAGAAACGAGGGCTGAATTTCCTGCTTTTGTACCATGGCCACTCAAATAAGGAGAAATTTTGTGAAAAATGTTTTATGTAAAGTTGATCCTTTTATGTAAAAAGAACAACAACCGATTCAAGATGCTATATAATTGTAAAAAACCGACTTAAGGCGGCATATCATATCACTGGTTTATAGGTACTGGTTTATAAGTTGTTTCGTGAGTTATGGCGTATAAAAATTTTGAGTCTTGAAGTCTTGAGCTTAAGTGTCAAGTAATAAGTTTGGTAAATCATGTACTACTTTAATGTAGTCTTAATATACGGTTAGATATTTCTTAAAGTGATTTTAACGTTGGCGAGTTTTGCAAACACATGTTCAATGATTTAATATGTGGGCAAATTGGGTTGGGCGAATTGGTCCGTGGGCGAATTGACTGGTTACCTACCCTTAGTACTGATCTTTGATCACAGAAAAACTGCTTTGACTAGTTACTCCAAATAATCTATTGGCCATGAAATTTGAAAATTCTTGGAAATTATCACTTAAAAATCCTTGTTTGTGACTAAAGTAATATTCCTCGCTCAGATTTCTAAAATAACAGCAGTCAATGAAATAGGCATGCATACACCTTAATTTCTGTCACTTGACATCATAGTGACTCTGATTGACAGCTGGTACATGAATTTATCTGACTGTAGACAGGAACCCTAATGCAGATGCAAGCAAAGATCTCTCGAGTAAAGTCCTGAMGATTCCTGGGTACTATTGTGCAATTTGCCTACTTTGCAGCTCAGGAATCRAGGGAAAAAACATTTTATTTCTGGGCTACCACAGGTACCCCAGAAATCAGCAATAAATGTCATTTATAAATGAAACTTGAATATTATAATCATACAAGCAGTGTAATAAGGGCAAACCATCAGTCAAACTCACAGGAGTTTTGAGTTCATTTTGAGACTCAAACAAGTAAAATATATATTACAATCAAAAATAGACTATCTCACACCTGTACCACTCAATAGTTTTTTGGGGAAAATATAAAGCTCCTATTTTCCATGAAACATCAAAGAATAATTGTTTGTCTGCTCATTCTAGCCCTACTTTCAAGATGGTGACAATGGCAACRACCAAAGAAGAGACTTAAAGTCACTATTACTCTCTCTTCTGTCATCTTTTATTAAAAAAGTGACTTTCTCTTCAATGTGGACATGCTTAGTTATTTACTAAATTTGTCAATTCTWAAAGATTTASAAAATTATTCAGGGGCATAGCCAGGGCCCYGTCCCCTCCCCCCATCCTCATGCTGTAGAAACCTAAWCACCTAAGAAGTCACATTATMAGTTCATGTGACTTACCAATGTTCTGAAAACTGGTTTTGGCCCCCTGGCTTCATCCCTGTTAGTGTTACTACATARTTAAAAGTTCAAAATTGATCCCTCCTACATGGGTTAGCAGATTAGTTTATTTTGCTGTTCAACCCCCAACCCCAAACCCTGGAATTTCCTGGGCATCTAGCCCTCCAACCCTCTGGAATTTACAATTTCTTCTGTGGTGGGATATGGATATTTTCTTTAATGGGACCTTCTGGAACTACACAATAATACTAAATAAATAATGTAATTCATTACCTTTTCACCATAAGCCAAAGTCGGTGGTATGCCTATGAATCTTTTTCCTCCTTTTTTCATCCCAATAACACCTTGATCCCAGCCCTATATCATTTAACAAAATTATAAAAAYCAAAATTTCAATCAAAATGAAAGTAAACTTGAGATGTTAACAAAAATATGGTCAGGTAATGATTGAGAAAATTTGAAAAAAAAATCCATCAAGCCATTTTTGAAAAACAATTCAAAGACACTATAAAACGAGAGACAAAGGAAACAAACTGGGAAAGTGTGCTTTGCAGAACAAATGGAGTTCTGTGWGGACAGGGCCAATGTGGTCTGTGATTTTTTTTCTGGTAACAACTCTGGCAGCTGGATTCTCTGCAGATTATTAAGTAGGTAGTCTGGTAGGCCTCAAAAAATGCTGTTACAATGGTCAAGTTTAGATATGATACAAAAGCGTGAAAAGTGTGAATAAAACACTCAACCTTGGCCTTTCCAATATAATTGCAGATTCTTCAAGATTTAGTTGTTAGTTGAAGGCAACTGTCAAGAACTAAACCAAGATCATGAGCTTCAGGTTTTGGGAGGATGTCAGTATCATTAAGGCTGACTGATATAGGAGCATGGTTACGAAAGCAAGATGTTAAATGAAGGATCTCACTCTTTCCTTGATTGCAAATCAATTTGTTTCAAGAGAGCCATATAATGATGTCTTGGAGGCAGCAGTCAAAAAAAGATGACAAGAGATTATCCTTGTTGGTGGAATTCAAAGAGATATATGATTGAGTGCCAACGGCATAAAGCATACAGCCTAAACCATGTGCCCGGATGATGTCCTCTAGTGGAGCGAAATAAAGAGAGAACAACACAGGTCCAAGGTCTGATCCGTGCAGAACTCCATATGACAGTTGATACTCATCGGAGGTAACTTTTTTTATCTTCACGGCTTAACTCAGACTTTTATCATATAAATCTTTTAACCCGAGGGGAAAAAATAATCCTCTAAATTTTYATTGACAATAAATTATCTACAGACCATATAAGAGATGTTTGTTGATCAAGCAGACAACACTGCACAATGGAATTTATCAAATTGACAGACATATACATGTACRAACCTTACCTTAATCACTTTCCCTTTTCCTGTTTTAAACTTAAAGGTTTTYTCTTTTTCTGCATTACTGTCAAATACCTAAATTCAATAGTAAAAATAAATKTTATAATGATGATCATAACTGGACATCTTGTGAAAACCAGTGTTTCTTAATTTTTCTAGGTAATTACAACAGACTGATGTGGTAAGTTTATTATTGCAGGTGCAYACTATTATCATTAAACATGTAAAATACTGTCAGTAATTACTAATAGTAATAGTAAAGAGAACAATAATTTATTTATAATAATAATAGTTCTAAAAAAAAAAAAGAGATAGATCTTTTTTAAATCTTATTCTAATTTTAGGTTGTGATATGGGGAATGGTGTATACCATTATCATTAAAACATAGTAATAACACTAATCAATAATAATAATGATARAACTAAAAAATAAAATACAAAATGTACAAAATCTTATTTCAATTTATAGGTCGTGATATGGGGAGTCGTTAACACTACCACTACATTCGCTCATGGGCAAAARTTCCCATYGTCAAATTAAAACACAATTTGCATGATGAAACGACGTCATACTAGAAGTAAMATAAGCAAATGAAAAATGRGGATCCATGACTTCAGTTAGCCAWTAGAATGTGTGGAAGTTTTCCCTTTTTGCAAAAAAAAAATGCGCGAAMMA